TGGCATTCCTACACACAAACAACTCCGTGCATTATGTTACAAGTCTTTGACTCGTATGATTCTAATCAATTTGTGTTTGTAGATTTTGCCTTAAAAAAAAATTAAGTCGGCATTCCCACATACAAACAACCCGTGCATTATGTTCCAAGTCTGATTCTAATCAATGTAATGTAATTGGTGTTTGTAGATTTTGCCGTAAAAAATTAAGTAGGCATCCCCACACATAAACAACTCCGTGCATTATGTTACAAGTCTTTGACTCGTATAATTCTAATCAATGTAATGTAATTGGTGTTTGTAGATTTTTTCTTAAAATATTCAGTTAGCATCCCCAAACACAAACAACTCCGTGCATTATGTTACAAGTCTTTGACTCGTATGATTCTAATCAGTAGATTTTCCTTAAAACATTCCCATACACAAACAACTCTGTGTATTATGTTACAAGACTTTGATTTTAATCAATTGGTGTTTGTAGATTTTCCTTAAAATATTCAGTTGGCCTGCATTATGTTACAACCAATTACATCACATTGATTAGAATGCAAACTAAATTTTTACATTGATAAGAATTGATGAGTGAGAACGCTAACCAAATTTTTCGACTATGTGACACTTAGTACATATCATTGTTATAAGTGAAATTTTCTTATTAAATTTATTAATTTCCAAATAATGATGCTTAAAATGTTGCTACGTATTTTCTAAATGTCATATAATTATTACAAATATAGATTATAATTATCTTATTAAAGGTAATTATTATAATGAAACCCCTTAAAAAAATGACTAAGCTAAATCATAATCATACATACTTGGTAAATTATCTTATAATGGTAATTATTATAACGAAAACTACCTTTAAAATGACTAAGCTAAATCATAATTACTATAAATATTTTTTATAAGTAATTGATCAAAGAGTTATCGTATTAAATATGCATAATAGTTTTATATTCATCTATGATAGGTGTAATATTCTTATCAGTAATAATTGACATCGAAAATCTTGCTCGTTCAAAGAAATCGTATTTAGAATTTCCTAACTGTTTTGTTGCGGCAAGCAAATTTCTAGCAAATCTCATATTACGACTTTTCTTTCTTACATTTTTGTAGTAGGAATATGGATTTGTGTCAATTTCCCTAGAAAGCTTGGTTTTAGGTGTATTTTTACTGTCTACCACTGTTTTTGCATATTCATTGATTATGGCTTTGTCATCATAACCGGAATTTTCCGATATTAAAATATCGATAAGGGATAGTTCAGAACAAATAGGTTCTAAACACATGGAATGTTCCAAATATTCAGAAAGGTCTATTCTATATTTTTTCCATGATTCAGGATCTGTAGAATTAGGTAAGGAAGGTTTAGTCTTTTTATAACATGATGAACTTTTAATCCGGTCAATGAATTTTTTTTTCCAATCTTTTTTTATATCGTCGGATTCGGGGTCGCTCATTATTAAGGTAAGTAAGTTAGGATTATAATAAACTCATTAGTGCTCATCATTTTATATTATTCAATCTGCATGTGGGCGGACCTCTAAATTTTTTTGGAAAATGATCAGAAAAATTCTGATTGGTGGATTCGGTGTATTCTAAACTATTTGTATGACGTCAGACATTATTCAGTCCCGGTCGAATGGGACCAGTTATCCTTCAGATACCATTGGATTTACTATTAAATTTAGGTTCAATGGATAACGGATTACTTCTCTAAGGTCATCAAGTTCATTATTATTAAAATTTCTGTAAATAAAGGTAATAATAAATTATTGGACACAAAAATTAAATGTACAAGCGACTCTTGATATAAGAAAGTTGCTGGGTCCGGCCAAAATCTTTCTTATATCGAGATTTTCTTATATTGAAGGCTTTTTATTATAAAATTTTTCAATTGAGATTTAAAAATCTTTCTTATACCAAGAGTTTCTTATATCGAAGGTTTCTTATATCGAGAGTACTTGTAATGTGAAAAAAAATCTTTAATGGGTCTCAAAGGTTTACATAGATTCGCATTTACTATTGATCAAATGATTTCTACTGATATTACTCCTGAGTTTTTTATTGATTTTAATTTTTAAAAAATAGTCAAGGTCTTTTAATTATCCGTTAATTATTATTAAAATTTCGGTCTGTTAAATATCTTTAGGGTACATTCTTAGAATGAAATGTCACTATTATTCATGATTTATCGTTATAGTTTTTTTATGATAAAATATAAACGAATGTTAGTAAATAGAAAAGAAGCCAAGGGAACAAAAAAAACCTGGCTTTGAAACTTCGCTTTAAATTCCAAATGATTTAATTTGCTAAAAAGGAATAAAGGCTTTAGACATACTTGTTTTTAATATTTATATCGGCACTAACCCATCATAATCTGGATGTCCAAATCCA